CAGACTTTCTGCTGAATCCTTTAAGGATGTGACTCTGGCATTTTAATTAAAATGATGAGCTCACAGATAGCAGCCTGATGAATGTTTTATGTCAACTGTTGATGTCTTTAGCACAAGACATTGCTCAATTTTCTCTTAGAGCCTTTTAAGATTTTCCTGTGTGACAATTTCCTCTAGTTGTATCTGAAAAAAAGGCCATGCAAAAAGCTAAGCATCAGTTTTTATTCATGCTCATAATGTAGCACTTTTTCATCTTTTAGGTTATTAGTTCTACTCCAGTTAACTGGAGACATCTGATCTAGATAAATGTAGTGGCATTTTGAAACATATCTGACCCCAACACTGTTGAGTGTTGTTCTAATATTTGTTTTCCTTGATTACTAGGTTATTTTTTAAACTGTCTTTGACTTTAGAGCCACTTCAGTTAGGGTCACAGGAACTCTTGAGTGTCTTCATTTGGCAGAGGAAAGGAGGGGTGAGTTATGATTAAATTCACCATCATCTATCTGGGAAATCAAAAGGTATGTGTCCATTAGATTTAAGAAGGAAAGGAGCTGTTTAACTGTCTAAAAGTTTCATACACAAGCTCAGGAAATAATACTTTGGGGCCTCAGAATTCTTAGAAAACTCTTTTTTAGAATTTTATTTTTTTTTTTCCACAATAAGCTGATATTTTTAATGCAAAGATACTTTATTCTTCAAACATTCTCCCTTCCACCCAGACCAAATCAATACAGACCAGGGGATAAAGATTAATTTGAAGAGCTTGCAAATAAACGTGCCAGGGAGATCCTACATTTCCTACCTCTACTCACTAAAGAAAAGAACTATAAAGATCAAAATAGGATCTGGATAGGATTAGGATATAGGGTAGGATTTTCTCTGGATCATGGAGAACCTACTGTATTAAGATTAATTTATATAGATTGCAGAAAGAGGCAGAATATTTCTCCAAGTCATCGTTTCATGCTTCAGCTGCATGTGGAATGTTTTGAGTATTCCCTGTGTATCTGACTCTTAAAGTCACTAATCTCACATTAAAAAACATTTTTTTTTTCCAAAAAAATATTGTGACATGCTGAAAGAAACACTGTACACTTAGTAATGCAACTCTGCGAAAAGGACATACTTTGTTCTAAGTTTACTAGAGTAGTAACACATTTATGTATCAGAATTCTAACTTGCATTATTATCTCTATTTGAAGCTTCTCTTTATCACCCTTTGAAGTATTTGTCTCCAAGACACATTTTTAGTCCTCTTCTTGGACTGCCACTTAGCTTCTGAGATCATAAATGCAAACTTTTAACTTAAAACAAACAAATATTTAATATTCAACATTAATAAATATTAATAAATATAATTAATACACATAATATAATATCGTGTGTATAATTAATATTAATAAATAGAATTACCATACACACTTCAATATTTAATGTTAAATAAATAAATGAACAGTAAATAACTTTGTATTTGTTGAAAACATAAAATGAGTGTCTGAAGTATGAAGTTAAAGTTGTGCTGCTAATTCTTTCTATTGTTACCGTAGGTTTCTGAACACTGGCCCTGGTTTAGGAAGAGTTTTGAAGAACATGTGCTGTTTTTCTTTTCTCTCTCTCTCTCTCTTTTTTTTTTTTTTTTTTTTTCTTTCTCCTCTGAAAGTACAGCATCAAGGATTGTGGAAACCCATTTCTGGGTTTCAGGAGTACTGCTCCAGTAAAAACAGCAAAGTGTATTAGATGCAGTATTTAGGATGTGCTATGGGCTGAGCTTGTATGGAAAAAATAAATAAATTCAAAGCATCCAAAATTTTTAAGACCTGCCAGGAGTGAGGATGTACTGGCCTGCACCAGGTAACTTTGAGAGGTCTGTCACTAGCAGAAGTCTTCCATTAGTTATATGTATTAGTTACACCATCATTTTCTTGCACTTTTCTCCTACTCAAAATAGGATAATACTATTTTTAACATCAATAAAAGTAGATGTTGACAAACAATAAGAGATTAGGATACAAAACAACAACAAAAGAAGAAACTCTGAAGACAAATTTACCAAAATAAGCTTTAAGAATGTAGCAGATAGCTGTTCTCAGTGATTTAACCAAGGCTCAACTTGGTTGACTGCAGTCACATAGCTCTTAGAGGTAAAACCTTATAACACAATTAACTTCACTGAAAACATTGTTAGAGGTAGTGAGGATTAAGCACAGCAAACAGACACGTGGAGCTACATAATGCTTTAGACACCTACTCCAGGCTGCCTGTTCCTAGTTTAATGGAACAGAATGTCTCAGAGCTCCTAATGAGTTGATAATGCTTGCAAAATAAGATGTTCCGGTGACATCTGTTTGATGTCTCTGTGGAAGATTTATTTGATTTAGACTGGTCTATTACATTTGGATAAACCAATAGTTTCTCTCACTTGCAGAGGTATATCATAGTATTAGAGCTGGCAACCACTTCAGCAAGATTTAGGGATAGATGCAATTATATGTGTTTGATTTACTACTACTACTACTACATGTAAAAGTATACTTCAAATATCATATAAATATGTCAGACATATCAATAACTAGTTCGATAGAACTGTGATCTGGATTTTTTAAATAAAAATATGACTCATACGAGAAAAGGAATGTTAAGTTAATAATTAAGGAAAAAAAAGTTAACTGTTAAGGAAAGTTAAGTTAATACAAAGAATAAAGTAAAACCTAAAACTACACAATGATAAAAAATAGAGAAGAGAGAAGAGAGAACAAATGTTCTCCACTTTTTGCAACTGGCCTGATTAATATATATTGACTGCCTCTCAGGCAGATTATTTTCTAATTCCTTGACTGAATTACCAATGGTATCATGCAATGTTTTGCATTTTTGTTTTAATACATCACTTTTACCTGATTTTTTAGAATTGAGTATGTTACATTAAATTGGCATCAAATGTTGTCACAGAATATTTATGCATCATCTAGATATTTCTGGATATATCATTACTTCGTAAATCCATAATCTATAACAAATGATCATCCTTTACTTAGTCTTTCCTCTCTTTTTTCTTTTTTTTTTCAGCAGTAGGGAGTCGAAGAGGTTTCATGAATTAATTTAAACCTTCAATTTCAAATTCTTCAAACGAGAACTAATGGGGTCAAGTCACATAGTGATAGACATTGGAGCTTTCTTGATATAAAGGTCAGATTTCATGACATCAAAAGCTTATTGGGAGATTTTCTTCCTCCTTAGAGCATATTTCATTTTCTGTCTTCACAAGAGTGTCATTCTGTAACATGGACAAAGACTGCACACACAGCAATTTGAACATGATTTTGTGGTGGGAGAGGGAGTTGGATCCAATTTCCACTGACATAATTGGAAAGATTCACTAATTCCATGGGAAGCTTAAAGAAAAATAAATGCATAAATAAACTGCTAGTAAAATTTGCTGACTGATAAATCATAGAAGATTCATCCTTGCCAATCCATCCCAAAACACTGCACACTAGAGAACTGTCCAAAAGCCGAGTGATAGTTTACAGGCCCAGTGTCATAATTGTTCTGTTCAAATAGAGAAACTGAAATCCCACTTATTTCTTTGAATACCTTTTACTGTGATATATTCGTGATTTTATCTTTTGTTTTCCTTCAGTAAAGTCAAGATGATTAATTTAACAATAACTCTTACGTTGCATAGGTGAAGTATATAAGTTATCAATACAACTGGAATAAGTATAACATAATAGAATTTGGTTCACAGGAAGAGTTTTCATTGTTTCTTTTAATGAAAACAAGGGATGACCTTGACTTAGTCATCTACATAAATATGCTGGATGTAAAAGAGAAGTTTTACCCTAATTACACTTCACTAATTTACTCTCTCGCTTTTCAGAATGATTTAGTATAATACCATTCTCAGCTTTAGAAATGTAGCCGTAAAAGTATTCTCCCTCTTCTTTCTGTCTTACACGCAGTTATTATTGGTAGGATAAAAGTAATTAAAAACGTATTTTTCAGTAACTGTTATTTGTTTTTTTTTTTCACAGATTAGAAAAGGAGGACATGCATAGGTATTCAGTTCTTTGACCTTTAATTTGACTAATACACATTTTTTTTTATAAATTTCTGTCATCAAGAAAATAATACATTCTGTTTGCATCTTTCTAGCCAGGCAGGATTAAACACTACAAATATTAATACAAAAAGAAAAGATAATTACAACTTGAAGTCAATTTTTAAAAATTAAGTACAGTATAGTTCCCCCTATAATCGTTTCCATCAGCCATGAAGCAGATATTTTATTACCATGCTCTTTTATTGTGATGGAAATTGATTTCGCTTAAAATCATTTGAAAGTTAATATTTCACAATGAAAAGTGGGGGAGGTCTCTGATTAGCATAGTTGGGTAAATCATAATCATCTGATTACTATAGGTGTGTAAATACTGTAAGATTCACATTAAAAGTGGGAAACTCCACTTTCATTTGTAATGAACCGAGACATTGATAAAATGTCTTATAAAAAGAGGAACAAAATCTTGTCTTTATATTAAATATATTAATATGTTAATAGCAACTATTGAATAAATAATTTAAATACAAGACTCTCTCTCATTTGACATTATAGAAAGTTTATGGATGTGGGAAAATTAGAAGAAGAAATTAATGAGGTTTCTGTGATTAAAAATCTTCCTAAGCAGTCTTGTATTCTTGAGCCTTTCTCTGGACATGATTTTCTGTTCATCATTTTCTGGACATATTTGTGGTATAGTTCTGCATTACTTTCAGATGTAAGTTTTTTCCAACATGGGATCCTAATATGAGCATATGATATAATACTTCATATGAAAATTCCAAGCCCATGCTTAATTCTAAGTCCATACTTGGACCTACTTGCTCTGTCTCATTTTCTCACTGAGAAGCATTTCAAGTGATGCTGGGTTATTTCCCTGTATGCTTAACAGGGAATTATACATAAACTGTGCTTTGCAGTAAGGTGTCTTCAGACCTGGAGGTAAAATAAGCCTTTTTATTTTATGATCACCACAGGAGTTACAGAAAACATTTAACTCTTCATCCACATGAATACAAGAGCAGCAGAGAACACATCTTGGGACAGCTTTTTAGAGCAACAAGGAACAAGGTAATAGAAACATGATTCTGCAAGGCTTATTCAAGATATTGAGAGACAACTACATACAAAATAATGACCAAAGTCAATAATGACCTAAACAGAAGATTCTGCTCATTTGTTATATTAATAAATTAATAGATCATCAGAAAACTTCTCAGAAGGTATTCTCTATGTAGAAGTTTAAAGTTCGAGTCTTGAGTATATTCTCTTCAACAACACTGTTGTTCTTGAACATTTACTCCCTCTCCACCTATTCTTTTTTCTTCCTGCTCTGATGTTAATAATTAGGTACTACTTTTCGTCTACTGAATGAGACCATATTATCAGAATACCCTTGGATCTATAAAAACATATTTTGTCTTTACACAGAGTTGTGGGATTAATTTATTTGAATAGCTAGAGCAAGATGAATTTTACCTAAGATGACAGATGGCAACATATGGGGAGGAGTGAGAAAAAGCATTCCTGTGACTGCTGTGATGTTGAAGAATCACAGATTTCGGGGTTGAAAGTACACAGGTCTTTTCTTTGATGCTCAAGATCCCAGTTAGGCTGCTTACTTACCATGGGACAGAACAATGTCTTTGCTGTTCTCCTGGAGCACTGAGGGTCTGGGGAGGTGAAAACCAAGGGCCTTCTCTGTATATTCTTCAGTAGTACTAGTAGCAGTCTCTTTGCTAGATGTCTCTTTTCTAGAGATGCATGTAGTACATGAAGTACAGTCTAATTGCTCATATCAGGTTAAGGGGAACTCCTCCAAAATGACAGAATGCTGTGAACAGAGCATTATACGACTCCTGCAGGGGAGAAGAATTTAAAACAGCAGAGATTTTGACGCTCTTATTCCTAACTCACTCAGGACATTAATCAGGTCTATCTAATCAGCCAACCTGTATAAATCTCCCCAATATTCTGACTGTTCTATCAGAAATGCAGTGGCAGATCATATATGTTCAGTATAGCATTAGTTTCTACAGTGCTTTTTTTAAGCAGAACTGAATTGTAAACATGATTGTGAGAGCACATAGCTTGAAAATATTTCCAACACAGTTTCCCTACAGGTTGGTAAAAAGCCTCAGCTTTGATTTATGGACTGAAACACAATTACTGCCAGGTGCTTTGAATGTGCCAGCAACAGTCAGCTTGTAGCTCTCATGAAAACTGTAATTTGCTATGCAAAAGTAATGCAGTGATTACATTTTAAGTAATTATGGCAAAAAATAACTAGGTGAAATGAGAAAAGCATGTAGTATCATTTTACTTCCTTCTCTAGCAATGGCAATACATATGACAAAGATTTCAACCATGTTAATTGCTGTACAGTATTTCCAGGATGTAGCCCAATTATTGAGTTACTCTACATACATCTTCAGATGATCACTTTTAGACTGAATAATAGTTCAGCTCTGTGATGAACTTCTTAATATCTGTATAGCTCTCATACTGTTAATTACAAAAATGAGGGTAAGAATACTAATAGAGTAAGGCCAGAAGGGACCATTTTGATCGTCAGATCTAAATACTGTGTCACTTAAGCTACTTAAGCTACTTTACCAGCTAGTCCACACATGGAGACTTAAATACATAAAATCTTTTGGAGGAATATTCAAACATGATTTGAAGCAAGGGGAATATACTGCATTTGTTGATTAAGCTTTCTAGAGTTATTTATACCCATGGTTTCATAACATGCTTCCACTTTATTTACAGATGTAACTCTTCTAGTTTAATTTCACCATACTGGATCCTACTAACTCATCCACTCTTCTAAGAGTGGCATAGAACCAGGTATTTCTTTTTATGGGTACAGAGGTACATGAGGTAATTGAACTACCTAGTAACTGTCTCTCTTTGCTGAAATTTCTCTGTGAAAGCCTCTGTTTTCAGTGTCACAACCTAAGGTAGCTCCATGTTCTGAATTGACAACTTCAGGGCTTTTGCAAGTTCTTTCAGTTACAGAGTTACATTTAAATAGCTGACAATTTCAAATTCATCATTTGCCAGTTCAAAAATCAGTTCTTAAAATTTCCTCATGTTCTTCTCTCCTAAATGTATGACTTTTAATTTTACTGTATTAAAATTACCAGTTTTCTTGTGCTAAATTTACAGTGAAATTTAATGTAAAGTAATAATACTGTCTTGTTATCACCTCACCCAAAAAAGTGAAATCTACAAAAAATAAGCAAAATTTTTGTATTTTCTTTCAGAATATTAACATTAAACATAACCAGGTTAATAAAATCTCTATAGGTATTGCTAGAAATCTCTGAATTATCTCTGGAGCTCAGATGATTTATTACTAAACAAGAGATTTTACAGCAAATTTTACAGTTCATTAGATGTTTATCCGTGAATTGAATAACAACACAAAGGCAAACTCTTTCAAGAGGAGCATGCTACAGAGCTTAAGCAATGTCTATAATATGAGACCTCAATCATAGTCCTGTAAATATATATGGCCAGGATGCTCCCATGTATCTACAAATGTTAAGTACACATGTCCACAAATGATTGTGCAGAACTGCACAAGATATTTGAGTAGGTAAAACTGATAAAGTGCACATCATTTTAAATGCATGCTGATAACATTTAATTTTTTTAAAAAGTATATTTTATTAGGCATAGAACTCACCGTGTTCTGGTTTCATGCTCATCTAGACATTTTTACTGTATTGAAATAGCCATTTCTCTTGGTTAATCAAGATCTACACACAAACATAGATTGATTTGACTGCATCTTTCCGAAAGTGTAGCCACACACAGGCTTTCATTTAATAAAATAAGTTTGGATTTCATATCACTGGAGTATTTTGTTTCTTTTCATATTCAAATACATGGATCTGGCTCTGGTTTTATATCTCTTAAGCAAAATGTGTCACAGAGATTGAAATTGTTTTTGAATAAGAAATATCAATGAGTTCAATCAATTTCAATTGACTTTTACCAGCCTGAATGGAGGATCATACCTCCTTCATTTACGTACTTGAAAGTGAAAATGTTTTTTTATATTAGTTAAGTTTTCATAAGGGTATTTTCAACCTATAACAACGTCTAGTCATGAAAGTCTATTGAGTATCACATACACTATTTTTTTCTGGATTTTTTCCTGAGGACAGTGCTTGTTTTCAAATATTGTGCAAGCATTTTGTAAGAAAATGAGGTTGTATTTCATATTATGAAGAGAAGCAAAACCAATACAGATCTATTGAAAAAATCACTTAAAAAATCATGCAAAGTAGAGTATATCTTAGAACAACTGCATGTTACTCTACATTCATTATACACTGAAAAAACCACAGAATTTTAATTTTTTGGTCTTCAACATTTGTATGCATTCTGAATATATAACACAAACACAACCTGTGTAAGGCAGAAGTGGATCTTTTCTCTATTTTTATACTTTCCCAAAACACAACAAATACCACTAAGTACAACATGACACATCATACTGTGAATAAGCCACGAAGATAATGATGTTTGAAATAACGCATTTCCAACATTACCTTATATAAAGATCCCTCACTTTCCCTATAATGTGGGAGGTAAAGTAAGACTTATTTTACTATAACATTAAATATACAAAGCTTTATGTTTATCTCTTAGAGATAATTACTTTTTTTTTTTTTTTCTAAATGTGTATATAATATATTATGAAAAGAATAATAATAACATTTTAAGAAAGATGTACATGTGTACAGTGAAAGTGAATATATACCTTGAAGCGTCATAACTTAAAAATCATTAAAATGTCTTATATTGGGAAAAAAATAAATGTTTTGAAATATATATGTTTTTCTCAATGTTTAAATCTGGAAGAGACTTCAGAATGATTGGTAAATAATCAATGATCCAATTAATTTAATCATACTAAAGACTGAAAGAACTTTAGGGCTAAAGATAGGAACACACTGTAACATTAAAGTTTTCTCCTTATACAGTCATAGTAATTTCTTGTATGTAATTTCAGACATTTTTGTTAGGTTTACTGTTTTCACATGTTTTTGTTACCTACCTTAGACATGAGAAAATGTTAGGAACTTCTGTATTTTTTGATATGAGAAAGAAATTTAAGGAATTCTGAATGTTTCCATTATTGCATATCATAAATGTTTAGTACATACTTCTGACTGAAACATATACATAATGTTATGACTCACATAGAAGAGACCATTAAGAGTTATTTTCACTTTGAACTAAAATTATCACCTCCTTTTGTTAAAATTTATTAAATGGATGATACATTTTCCTGTCAAGTTAGGTGCGAAAGTTCCCATCATTTTTCATCATGTTTGCAGATGATGATCCTGCATGAAACTTAATCTAGGTGATGAATCTTAACTGTTTGTTAAGTGCTGTTATTTTATTTATTATTTTTTTTTTCATTTTGAGTATGGGTTCCAAGTCTTGTTTATGTATAATTATACACAGTGTGCATATGGATCCTTACATCTTGAAGACTGCACTTATATCTTGAAGGATGTGAAATTTTTTTAAGCTGTATTAGCTGAAGAAGAGCATTGCTGTAATTTTTTGTTCAGCTGACAACTTTTATCATGCTTTAAACTCTTATCCACAAATAAGTAGGGCTAACCTTGCATGAAGAACCTCAATGGAATTGTTTCCTGACCTCCTTAAACATAAATCTTTACAATTTCCACTGATGCAGTATTTTAATGAAATTTTCACATTTTTTTTAAGGCAACAACTGTTAAAACAACAAACAAACAAACAAAAACAACCAACCAACCAACAAACAAACAAAAACCACGCTGGAATTCTAGAATATAAAATGCAAAATTGGCTAGAAACCTGCTGAAATGTCCTAGTACTACCCCAGAAGATGGACAGAACTAAGCTCCTCTACACCCTCTGCTAAAGGTGTGCAAGAAATGAGACATTCTCACATTAGCATGAGGTGCTGCAGAAGTGGTACCTTTCCAAGGGTGTTTAATACACTCTGCAGAGAAAACTGTGGAAAGAAATAACTTCTGTTTCTCTACTAAGGCACGGTTTTAAGAAGGACTGAACAACTCCTGCTACTTGATTTGATGGGATAGACTACTTCTATCATCAGTGTTAAAATGCATAATATATTTTCAAATTTTGGAGATACTTGTGAAACAGCACAAAGGAATACCATTTTGACACAATACATAAAATAAAAATTTAGGGAGTTTAAATATTAATATGTGAGTAACTTTTCTTATTTGGGCTCTCTAATTCTCACAATTTTTGAGAAATATTAATTAAGACATTAGTATAAATTTAAGTATTTTTTTAATTACACATGAATACCCTGCTTTAGTTTGAGAGGAATTAGAGTAATCATGCCTGTTGAGTATTTTAATTTGTATGGAATAATATTGTCTCCTTAATACAACAATATGGTGGAATTCACTGGGATTATTGATCTGAGTGGAAAATTCAACCGTAGTTAGAGAAAATATCTTTTTTTTTTTTTTTTTTGTGTACACTGTGATTAGTGTTTCTGGTTACAAACATGTAACAAAGCATATTAGACAAATAAGCATGGTAAACTTATTTTGCTCTTCACAAGAAACAATAATCAGTCAGTAAACTCAGAACTTAAAAGCAGGCATTTAGTCAGGGATAATTAGTGCCTATTTGCTGATTTTCTGCCCAAATTATCCATATTTCTGGCATAAACCACTGCTACTTAAGGGCTAGATGCAGTTCACAGCATACATTAACACTGTTTTTACATTAACATCCTCTGAGTCACAGATGAATACATCAAAGCCATGGTAGAGACACTGATTAAAAGGCGAGTGCTTTAGTCAAGAAACCAAGTTTTGGAGTGGCAGGTGCTTGTTAAGGTTTCTCTGATAAAAGAGGTGGAAGTTTTACTGACACTCACCAGGAATCAGGTAGGGCTTCAAAAGTATCTCTTACTGCTGGTCTTCCCCACTCCCTCATCCTCAAAATTTCAAAGAGATGAAGTCCCATTGTTGACTATCAAGCAATTGTGTTTTAAATTATTTACAGCTAAGAAAAAGACTTTTCCAGATGAAACCATAAACTCACAATGATAACCTTATATGATTTTTATATTTGAATTGTATTTTTTTATTTAAAGTAAAAGAAAAAAAAAAAAGGGAAAAAATATATAATTTTCAAAGCTGTGGGATCACCTAATATGTTATAAACTCATCTGAAGACTGATAGTTATTTAACAACCTGATTAGGACATAAAAAATCTGAAAGCTCAAAGAAACTGTAAAATTGTGATAGACTGTTTCCTAAGCTCAAATTTAACCCAGAAAATAGCTTGCTGTACAGATAAGCTCTTCTTCTCCAATTAATTAATTTCATATATTTTGTGTTCCTAGCAATAACGTCATACTGTTTCTTCATATGAAGGAACTGACACAATCATGTATGCAATATTATTCCGTCATTTTTAATTCAACATCTTCAATTTTATTTTACTGGTTCCAAGCAGATAACACTTGCATGTAAACATAGACGTTTTCATGTCAGCTAACCCTCCATAACTGATTTGGAGAGACTCTCCCATAGTTATCTTTCACCACTCCAAACTTTTTTTTTTTTTTTAGTCATGTTTGTGGAGAAAAAAGAATCTGACAGAGTATCTTGCCAACAATATTTAACACCTTCATCAAAAACCTGAACAGGGGGCAGGAAACGCTCAGCAAGTTTGCAGATGACACCAAACCTGGGCAACTGCTAGATTCAATGAAAGGCAAGGCTTCCTTTCAGAGGAGCCTCAATAAGCCAGAGGAACAGGATAAGAGTTATCAAATGTATAAAGTTCAACAAAGCCAAATCCAGAGTCCTGAAACTTGGATTGACTGAATGTAATTCTGCAGAAAAACACAGGATCTAGGGAAGCAATTAGACCCTCTACTCAGTGCTGGTGAGACCATACCTGGAACATGCTGTCCCATTTCAAACACCCCAGTATGTGAGAGGGATGGCTGGGCTGGAGCAAGCACAGTGGAAGGCCAGGGGGCTGGATCACAACAGATGAGATACAGAGAGCCTCATTTTTTCAAGTTGGTGTTGAGGAGGCTGAGAGAAAATTTAATTGCCATCTTCGATTACATTGTGATTGGTTAGACAGAAGACACTTCTGGATTGCACAGAGAAAGGACAGAAGGCAATGGTCACAAGTTACATCATGGGAAATCCCAGCTGCAGGTGGGAATCCCAGTTGCAGGTTGACCAAAAGTTGTTGAATTGCCATCCTTGGAAATTTACAAAACATGCCTAGACTAGGAAGTGATCCAGATCTGAAGGCAGCCCTGCCTTGAAAGGATGTCCAGAGGTTCTTTCAGCTTGATTTATTCTATGATTCTGTGGATCATTAATATAAATGGTAAATCATAGTCCAGCGAACAATAATGTCTTCAAAGGACTGAGTACTCTTCCACTATTTCTTTAGAGGCTTACTGCTTAGGACATATTAAGAACATTTATAAAATTGCCAAAATCACTCATGTTATTTAAGAATTTTCAGATTCTGCCATTTACATTATGCACTTTGTACTGATTTTAATACATCCTTCTGAAATTTTCCATTTTAGAGTTTCTTGATATCAAACCCCTCTTAGAACTTTTAATGGATTGTTGTTTTAAAACACTTAAACATTGCTTGGAATTTCTTTATGAAACATAGTATTTTAAAATTAATACAGATACTGCACATTTAAAACTGTACCTCCATCTCAAAGTCTACAAAGTTAACAAAACATGCACACACACATATACACACATGCAAAAACTATAGAAAAGCTTCCCTCAGAGAAATCCTCATTTTGGTACAACTACATACAGGTCATAAATAAAACCTTATATAGCGTACACAAAAGTTCTGTGTATGCAGTAAGGTAGGCATACAAAGTAGTAAAAAGTCCATCATCACTCAGTGTTTTACATTAACAAGACAGATGAACAGATAAAATCAGCATTGCCTCTCTAAAGCAGTTACCTCAAGTTGTACATGGGTTATTTCGACTCAGCATCATAGCACATCTTTACTTTAAAAAGAGAAAAAGCATTGTCAAAACAATCTGACGGAGATAATGAAAGTTTTCCTCTCTGAAATCATAGTACCATAGTATTTATTATCTCTAAGTCAGAAAATTCAGCCATCTCTTCACTTCTACAGAGTAAGATGTCAGAAAGTTCAGTGACTTGTCCATGTCAACATATCCTTGTATATATACATGAATGTTTATAGAACTTACACTTAATGAATAAGAATGCAGACATATCACCAACTTTTCTTCTGAAGTATCTTTTAAAGGTCCAGGAGCTTTATTTGGCGAAGCTAAGATACAAAGGACCAGCTCAGTTTTCTTTCATAACAGTTTCATGAAAGTTTGCTACAAATGCAATGTCAGTACATTAAATAGCTTATTAGCAATTAGCTTTATCAAGAAAAGGCTAGGATAAAGCTCATTGTGCTTTGTTTTCTAGAAGTCTCGTTCACATAGCTGAAGAGCCAACATACAGGACTTTCTGAAGTTCACACGTGTGTACAGTTGGTAGTTGGTGGTGTATCTATCTGGCTCTTATTTTCCTTAGCATCATTCAGAGGTGATTCATTACCTATCTGGCACTTGAAGACTTGTTTGTAGGCCTTCCTAAAATTTTCAGAGAGAAATGCATATATAATCGGGTTCACAGAAGAATTGCTGTAAGCCAGGCAGTGTGCAATTATCCTGAAGATAAATGAAGCTTGAGTCAGTGGGAAAACTCCAAATTCAGCCCAGAGATGAATCACGTGATGTGGCAGCCAGGAGATGCCAAAAACCACTACCACCACCAACACAGTCTGTGCTGTCTGAGACAGGGAAAGGAAAACACAGATGTCTTATAAGCACTTATAGAATTAATTTTAAACCTGCTTTAAAAGCATTGTTTATAGAAAAAAAAAAAAAAAAAAAAAAAAACACAAACATAATACACTCTTAAATATTTATTAACAATAACATTTATTATCAAATGAACCTCATTACCTATATGGACTTTATTTTGAAGTAATGCAAGAAGAATTCTAGCCTTGAAAATTCTGCAGCAAAAGGGAAATACATCTCCTTGCTCAAAAATAAAGAATGATGTTCCTCACTTCCTACACAAAATCCTAGCCTTTTCTGATGTGCATACAGGCTTGATGTAACAAAATAATAATATAGGTCTTTGGGGACTCTCATCCAGATCTAATAAGTTATATTTTAATTGGGTGCACGAGGATTTCTGACCAAAATTTCAAGAGATCTATTGTACATGAAGGCAGCTAGTGAAAGAGCTTAGAGCAATCAGATTAAACCTTTGCTCAAGAATCTAAAGAGGAGCAGAATTATTTTGAAAATCTCTCATTTGAACATAAAATTTCCATGCGAGGATCATCCAACAGCATTCTGGAATGTGACTAGGAAAAAAAAAAAGACAAATAAGGAACTTGAATGTTCCTGTAATTGTTCATTGAACACAAGGAGCAAAATATCCTTGGTGCTGCCTCATCTTTCAGTATTTTCACAAGAAAAAGATATAAAGCTCCTTAGATCCCTTCTGACAGCCACAGTATCAGTCATTATAGACATTTCAGGTGTTGCAAGCATTTTTTCAAGGCACAATGGAGTTTGATTGTTAATGTTTTCTTTACCTTTTGCTTATTTCAGAATCAGCTATTATTGCTTTGCAGTTGCTGAAAAAAAATAATACATGCATGGCTCTAACAAGTGCCACTTTCCCAATAAAAGCCTAACGGCAATTCTAAAGCATATTATGTTATTGGTCATTATAATTACTCTATTAACACTTCATAATTCTGCAGACAACTTCAGCTCTTCTTCACAGGCCAAACTAGCCCACAATGTGATATATACTGCAGCACAGACAATGCCTCCTGGATTTTTTGCTAATTTATTGACCCTAGTCTATACTTTCTTGAATTGATTAATGCTTGGTACTAATTCTTTGACCTAAATAATCACCATGTGACTTAACTTACAGAAACTTGCAGGGAAAATCTTAATTTCTGTGGCAACAGGCTGAAATAATCTATGGGAGAGATTTTACTGGTTAGCAAAATCTCACAACAGAAACCAAAGGACATACCTGTTGTAAATATTATTTTAGTCTCAAGGGTTCAAGTGTCTTCACAACCTTTTTTTATATTTAGCCCTATTTATTTTAAGTCAGTTGATGCTAAAACAGCCACACAAATATTTTCTCTTTCAGCTGTCATCAGGAAAGTAGTCTTCCTTGTGCTAACAAGGAAGTATAAATAAAGAACAGTTCATGCTCTGATCCATTTAATGCATTAATATTCTGGCTGAAAACACTGTCTGGATATTGCATGCACAGTTACTTCTTAAAATGTGTATTACTACATTTTTTTTCAAAATTAAGATGAACAAACAACAACAACAAGAAGCCTGGCACCAGGAAAATCACTGACTCTTAATACTGTATACACGGAAAGCTGAGGTTGACCATGTGTCTCTCATAACTATTGTACTTAAGGTATTTCGTATCAGCAGCATAAGTAGGTCTGCATAATGGATCCTCACAACTTCTGTTTTTTACCATTATTCCTCCTAAGCTTCACTTCAGAGCTTACCTTTCCACTATGACTATAATTTGCAACCAAGGTAACACTAAAGGGCAGCTCCTAATGGGATCTTGCTTACGGTTCCTCATTAGCAAATAAAAAGTGCCTGAAATGAATGATGCTAATATTGCTGCTTTGTGACCAAACAGCACAAAGAATAGCATTTAGGCACTTACATAATTTAAATTAACTTTTTTTTTTTTTTTTTTTTTTTTTTTCCCCGACATAAGACAAATTAATTTTAAGATTCTACTACTAAAATTTTATAAAGCTGTGAATAAAGCTAGAAATGTAGAACTGCATCTGAAATGCATTCTTGTTAACAAAACAGCAGCAGAAGAACACACAGTAACCAGATAGATAAAAAATACTAATGAAAACAGAGTTGCTTTGAAAACGTGAGTTATGGCCTTAGGATCAGAAAATTCTAAGTCCAAAAAAAAAATCATAGTTTTATGCTTCTTTTTTATTTGCCCTTTGCTCACTGAACCCTGAGGTGCCCAGGCAGTCTTGGACTTACCTGCAATGCCTCAAACTATGAAAGCAAGTTCATAGCTAGATCTGATTTTTATTTGAAATGTCAAGAGCTAGTCCTTAGAGGAAATGCACAGATATTTCCAGTTTGAGAATAATGCACATGAGAATAGAGTTGGCAACACAGAGAACACTTTTGAAAACTACACCTTTGGCCTTGATGAGAGCAAGTGCAAAATATTTATGTTGAGTGTTCTAGTGAATCAGGGATGTAATATTTTCAATTCTATAAATTAAAATCTATGACAAGATTATAATTTTTTTATTTTTTATTTTTTTTAACACAGAGAGTGCATAAATAATAGATTATTTATTCCCTGTTGAGCCCATGTATATCTCATCTACATTGCAGATGTCTGCATGCCCATATGGTAATAGTGATCAGATCAAATGAAGAGCTGTAGCCTAAGGGTTTTTTCTGACTCCACATTCATAAACTGAGAAGTTAGTCAAATGATTACTGTGGTCAAATCTGCTCAAAAATCAGAACCATATTATATTATCTGTCAAATTCTCTACATAAACACATCTTTCAAATATTGCTGTAAATTGCAAAGCTAATATTCTGCTTTAAAGACCCTTCACAATTTTACTTGTAGCCAGTATATAACTGAAGTCTTGAACTTAAAAGAAAAAAATGTTTTATGGAAAATCATAAAATAATTTAAGTTTCTTTTTAGCCTTCTATCAGGAAGTACAATTAATCTCAGTTGCAAGTCCCATCATACAAGCTAGGAATTCTTCATTAAAAATAAATCAGCTAGTTTAAGAAAAAATAAAATATTTACAAGGTAGAAAAAAAGGCTGGTAAGGCAAAAGAAACATTTACATTAGAGAGAAGTGGTCTCTCCATATCTAAATTTCAGATGCTCCAATGTTCAAAATACAAAGATCTCACGTAATGGCTTGACCCACTATGGTAGAAAACACAGATCAAAGAAGTTTCCCATCCTGCTGAGTTCAATGAGAGACTGAATATGTCATTAAATACTTCATTTCAAATCCTCCTCTCAATTATGGCTTTGGCAACAAGCAATAGAATACCAAACTATCTTACCCATAAAACTAAAATATAAACAAATAGGAATTGTTAATGAAAGCAATCTACCTTTTTCTTGGATGCTTCTGACTTCTTTGACATGTTTCTCAACTTTTTATGCAGATGATTAAGGACCTGAAAAGATTAATTTGCATCTTGTATTTCACCATTTTCTAAAATTCAAAAACATTGTTTTTAGAGTATATTCTCCAGTACTGCATGAATTGCTTACAAACATCAATGATACAATTTACACATTTAAGAAGAGCATGGTATAAAATCTAAAGGAATTGTATATCTGTGTCTTTGTGAATCAACAAATACAAAGAACATCACAGCTGAATTCTAGTATCAAAATACAGATGTATTACATAACAAATACACATTATGATTGAACAAGGCAATAAATTGAAACCTATCCTGTAACAAGAATTAGCAATCATTCTTCTTTCATAAAAATGTCAATGCTTGTTAATTTAGAATGACCTTTACTGCATGTAACATAAAAAGTGTATGTTTTGAGTCAGAGCTTTTCTGAGTCACCTGCATAATTTGCTTTCTTCAGATGGATGTTTGGTTAATATAATCAGGATGTTGGCACTATTTGATCTTCCAAAAAGACTAAGCTTTTTACAAATAATTTATAATAAGATGTATCTCACATGAGATACGACTTTTATGTACAATTTGATGACACTTGTCATATACCTTTCACAAATATTTTTTCACTATGTCTCAAAATGATATATCAACCAAGCATAGGGTCCAAATTTTAACATAAATGTAATGGTTTTCACATAAGGTTTTGGGTAGTGGATGCATAGTGAAGCATGCCCTTTTTCTGTAGTCTTTGTTAACTGAGTTTAATATATTCATATAGCATGATTTATAGGTATGTGGGGAGGCAGGGAATATGCTCTTCACCTGCATATATTTAACCAGTAGTAAATCACACAGAATCAAGAAAGGGAAATACTTAATTAAACTCCACGGTTTAATTATAATATGGTAAGTGTGTGTGTGTGTGTGTGTGTGTGTACATTTTTGCAAAAATTCAGAGTGAAGAGCTCAGTTAGATGATGACAATCTTGGGGTTAGAATTTACATAGCTATAAGATTGACTGAGAACAATTAAACAGATAAGATTATCCAGAGTTAAAGTATGCATTAAAAAGACCTTTTGAAGGAATATAATACTGTACGTGAGGGTTTCTAAGGAGTTTTCTTGAGGTTTCTCGAAAGAGTATAAATTCTCTGTTTTCTCTTATTTCTGGAATGTTTTCTCTGACTTCTTTGGGATGCATGGCTAACCACTACCAGGACAGGACAACCAGAGAAGATGACACAGTGATTTGATACCACTGTGGCATTTAAGTCTTACAAACATACAGAATGAGCTAAGAAAAATAGGATAATACTTGTGAGTAACCACAGATCACCAGTGGATTCCATTTTTTAAAAGTCTGCTCTTATCTATCAGCAAACCACAAAAATATGTAAATAAATAAATAAATTTGTGACATAACATCTGAAATGCAGTTTTGCTTATCTGTATACAAATGTGTTTGTGTGTCAGCCCTGCACACTTTCCCTACTCTGAAATGCCAGTCTGGCTGCCACCAGGCTAACCTGAGCCCCAGGAAGGCAGGAAAAAAAACGAATGTGTTTTCTCTGAGAAGCTCTGGCTTTGGCTGGATCCCAGCTGTTCTTCCTTCTCCAGGATGAAGAAAACAAACAGAAAAGCATAGAAGAGCCCCTGAGATGCAGCACAGGAGCAGAGATGTGTCCCCCAGGCTCACACATTCTTTATTTGCCTGCTGTCACCATGTACAGCACAGCTGAATTGTTTAGTCTGTGGTTGTAAAAACAAAAGAGCATGGGAGAAATACAGTGAAGTTCAATTCCCATCACTTTTGCTTAAATTATTGCCCCCCTTCACATAACTTAAATAGATGAGCTTTTTCTACTGGACCTTTGCAAATCCTGTCTCCTGCCACCTTGATACTTTACTAAACTGTGATTTTCACTCAGAATCTAACGCTAAAGCTAGACATACTCTTCCCAAAACTTAGTACTGCAAAATCTTCTTTTAAGGATATAAACTTTCTTTTTCTTTTGTTCTGAACCTTGTAACACAAGCTTTTGCATTGCATCTTTCTCTGTTCCAAAGAAAGATGCAGTAAACTAAGACATTATTGAATATTTTGGGATGTTGAAGATTTAGGTGATAACCTTCCAATTAATCCTTCTCGAGTTTCCCTATTTCGGGTTATGTATGTATGTCATGAAATAAGGATGTGCAGCCTCTGCAGTGAAAACATGCTGGCTCTGTGTGGTAGTGTACCAGATGGTATGCAAACCAGCAGCAAGAGAAATAGGCAGAATTTAATTACCTATCAACAGCCGTGGAACAGTACTCAGAGACCTACACAGAAAGCTGTAGAGGGATATTAAGAACCATGTTTATGCACAAACACTACAAGGCAAATCAAAGACACCACTCCTCACTGCCCTTTAAAAACTCTCTCTTCTTTGGGCCAAGGAATAATCAATTGTTCCTCTTACAGCCACTGTCACTTCACCTGGATGAATAGTAATTCTTACATTCCTTTCATTTTGTCTCAAGTTATTCTTCTAAAGAAAGTGTTCTTCAAAATGCCCACTAATGCATTTACACATGCATATTTAACTCACAGAAACAAATATGAGCCTTGCTGGAATAAATAAATAAATAAGTCACAACCTGTTCTAATCAGATGTTACATTTTAAATAAAATCATCTCTGTGGAAAAATTAGCTCTTTACATGAAACTGCTAACTCCAGCTTTTGTGTACCTGTTGACCAGCAATCATGTTTGGCTTTTGGGGAGGGAATAGCTTTCCTGTGTTCTGGAGATGAGGAGGTTCTGGGGGATGAGAGATATGATGTTGTACCAGAGGGTGTACGGAGTCTTGCAGGATTATGAGAATAGAAGTTCCAGCCTGGTCTAGACTGTAGTACCAAAACCACCACAACAGCATTTGGGAGGCCCTTGCTTTTGCCCTCAGACTATTTCATTTTGCTCTCAGCTGTTTCAGAGACTATCTTCAGATGGCTTGAGAGTACAGTCTAAGGGATGATGATGAAATGAAGCTGGAAAAGGGATTTTCCGATAGGGAAGGGAAAAAATAGCCAAAATTATCTATGCTTATTCAAATAGGTCTGCCAAACAATATAAAAGTTTGAAGCCTGCACTGCTTCAAAGCATGTTTCTTGTCTGGCTGTAAGCAATCATTCCACTGCCTACACCTTCCTTATTTGTTAGTTTATCCATTTAAAACCATGCTGCAGGAAAGCCAGCCCAAGGTCATTATCTAATAAGAGTGAACTGCTTGTTTAACAGAGCCATAATGTGAGCATTACATTCTGAACCATATTTTATAATATGAACCCGATTTACATTCAAGTGCCTTTGACTGCAATCCACTTTTTGAAGTAATGCTGCTACTTTTATTGTCACAACAGATCCTTCACCCTCTTTCACTTAATAGTATGTCACTAACATATCATATCCTTTATTTCTCTTTTCAGTGTAGTTTAGCCTTCTCCAATAAAGTTTTCCCTCTCTGCTCAGCAAAATTTAAGATATATTGTCTCATGCCAAGAACCATGTAAGTTTGCATATTATCTTGACTCCTATTTTTTATGGCTTATTTTTAACCAACCCTGTAAATCATACATGACTTTCATGAATTCAGAATGTTCAGAATGATAGATAATAATGGAAACATTCTTCAGGCAAGAAATAAATTAAAAAGTAGCTTTTAACATTATACCTCTATAAAAGGAAAAGTTTGTTAATGATTTTAGGTGACCAACCTAGAGGCTTGAAAGAGGTCTGATGTTCAAGGACTGAAGCCTTATAGCTAGGTACTCAGAAGCAGAGGACACCCAAAATCAGTTGTCACATTGCACTACCGTGACAGATGTCAATTGGTAGAAGATCACTGTGCATCAGTTATCGCTTTGCCATTTAAGAGCACATTAGTGAGCAAACATATTCGTTACGAAACACATACTAAACGTCTGTAACCAATAATATGCCAAGTCATACTCTAAGCTATAAAAAAAGAATACAGGCTGTCTATAAGTATGCAGTGCTATAACTCAGCTAATAACTATATAATCACCACACCTCTGGCTGCAGTAGTAAGCTCCTTTAAAGTAGTTCTGTGAGCTGTCTGGAGCCAATTACAGCTGGCTTCCTAAGGATTTGTGATTTCTTGACTGTGTGATCCCAAAAAGCTGAGCCTTCTCCATGAGCAAGACCTCTTCCCCATGTGACCTGTCTGGTGTTCAACAGCTGAGTGCAAACTGGCTGTCCTTAAAGGACAGAGAAGATTGAGCCTCTCCATCTTCTGCATTAGCTGCTGTTGTCACAAAACTAGGGAAATATCATTCCTTCTCACTCTCTCTCCTATATTCACTTCTGTTCCACATTTAATTAAAAATGGCACAAAGGTTTTTGTGGGAGAGAGGAAAAGCAGAGCTGTACACATATGACAGAGCATGGTCTCTGCCTTAAGAATGTATTATGTGAGATTGCCAGTTCTGATTCTGTGGCATATGCTGTTATTTAAGCACTTCTGTAGTTTGCAACAGTATTGCTCTCCACTGGGAACAACACCCCCTGAAAATGAATCTCTCCTAACATAATTTAAGAGAGACTGAGAGAGGAAAAGAACTCAATCCCCCTTAGAGTGCCTAAAAAATGAGACTTTCAAAACTGAAAGTTCAATTGCAATTTGCTTAGAAATGAAACAGAAATGTCTTAAAGGAGCCTGGAAAAGGCAATATATTCAAATAGAGAAATGCATCTCCTTTGTCTTAATCTACTGTATCAGAAAATTGCATTATTTAGCTGATTCACAGTTCATGAAAACTAGGGAAGTCCATAAGAAACTAATGTGTTTAGATTTGTAATACTTCTGAGACTCTTACACAGCAGCTATCCTCTAACCATGCATGCATTGAGAAGCTAACATATTGGTTGTACTTCAGAGTATTTTAGTGACATCAGTAAGAGCTCACAGCAATCGCTTTGATGGACACCCGGGAGAGCAGCAGTGACTTTGACAAATGTAAGACTTAGCTCTGATTTTCAACTTTTATCATTCTTAATTTCTCCCTCTCTCTACCCCATGTGCCCCACAATATTGCAGCTGGAGATGTGTCAGTGGTTCTGAAATGGGGGCAAGAACAAGCCTTTATGCTGCAGGGTGCAAACACCTTCAATATAGCCTCATGAATCAAGGCATTTTTCAGCTTTATTGACACTGGTGGGAATACAAAGTATCTCCTAGAGTTCATCCTTTTATGTTGGATCCTCCAGCTTGGCGCTGTGGCAAGTACGATTGTATATTCAGGCTCAAAACACATCAATCCTCAGACCAGGCAAGGGCGAGATCTCAGCCTGGCAGCAATCAGAGCACAAGATTTTAGTTGTAACTTGGAGTGGCCTTGTTTTTATTAACTCGTTCTAGGCATGTATTTCACACAGGTTTGTTGTTTTTTAGTTACACATATTCATATTGATACTGAGATACTTACTTTAGTATAAGTGCTTTGTAGCATGGTGTGTTCTGCTTAGTATGCTTAGATTTCCTTTTTTATTATTTATTTATTTATTTTTTCTATGATATGCAAGTCTGTCTTAATTTTTAAAGATTTGCTTTCAATTTTCAGTCACATAATTACATTTTGAAGGCTGGTAATCTATGCTGAAATTGAAGACACTTTGGCTTTTAAAAATAAAAGAATTCTTAATGGCTGGAAAGCTTCCTCTACACACATTCAGTAATAGTCTCCCTGTAATATTCATTATTTTCTTATAGCTCCAATGATCTAAGGCAACAACAGGTTTCTTCCCTCTCACAGCTCAGTCACATTCACCACTGCAGAAGAGATGTCAGTGTATTTACTGAGGGAAAGCAGAATTCAGTTTATGCATGAAAACACACATTTTCTTCTCCCTTTGCTGGGTTGGACTTTGCTTCTAAACTACTGTTTGTAGTGAAAAAGTCCTTTGAGTTCTGCATAACTCAAAGTTTTAGCAAAGTTAAATGCCATTCCAGCACTTCCACAATTAAACTGACATAATTTATATAACACATACAGCAGAACAGAACATAAAATTATTTGTTCACATTAAATACATTAACTTTAACTATCCAGTTTGCTAATTAAAGTCACTTCTCAATACCTAAGCAGTCCTTATCTGCAAGAGCAAACCTATCCTCGTGAACACAAATTATTGCCCAAGGATAAATCTGGACTGGAGATTGCTGTCACAGAAACAGGAGGATCTGGGAGGATCTCTGTGCAGCCCAGAAGGTCACAGCCTGTGCTCCAGATCTTGTCAGAGAGCTGTGGATGCTACACTGAAGGCTGCAATTAACATTTGTAGAAAAACATCACTGTTGCCTCAGCAGAAAGCCTTTAAGCACCTCTATTCAGGCAACCTTACTAGCTGCTTTTTCCTACCCAGGTCCTCACTGCTTTCTAGCACCTGCCCGTGCTGAATTCAGAGGTAAACCTCCCATTCGCTTCAATGGGGGCAAGACCAGGCTCAGAGTGACCAGGCAACATGATGAGCCTTTTGCTCTTATCAAGTATTAATCAGATCAGATCAGATTGACAGGCTTGTGTCATATTTTGTCAGCACGCTGTACTTTAAGGAACTGAAATGCTGTGTTTGAAGCCTGAACAACTTGTTGCTTGGTTGCACATGACTTGAGTTAAACTCCTCATACAGTACTGCAAGGAAAGAGGAGAGTTGTGTTCACAGAGAAAGCTTCTGAGATTTCTCAATACTTTGCAAGGAGGATGTCTGGCAAAGGGGTCCCTCTAATTAAAGGAACAACACCCCCCACCTGTCCCACACCCCATGCAATCCCTGACCTTTCCATGTCATACCTTGTCCCCCCCATCCCTCAGCTATAAAACCTGCCCCCTCCTTCTGCACTGCAAACACCCCTGCCCCATCACCTCCTAACACTGCTGGCTCCCACCAGTGCCACGTCCCTGCATGTTTCCAGAGATGTCCCTCAGGCTCATGGACACCCACCACCATGGTCACCCCCCCCCACTCCTTCCATATGCCCTCCACCACTACCCGCTTGCCCCACCTTGGCATAGCAGAACGAGATGAGCAGCAGCGGAAGCAGATAGCCAAAGATGAATGTGCAGACCACATAGACCTTCTTGTGGCGTGGGTTGGGCCAGTGCTCCCAGCAAAAGGTCTGGTTGCTCTTCTCACTGTGGAAGAGGCGCTGGTGGTGAGCCACGGGCGAGGCCATGGCGAAGGAGAGTGCCCAGATGAGCCCAACGCCCATCAGTGCGTTGCGGGAGACGCGCAAGGTTGAGGAGCGGCGGGAGTGCACGATGGCCACGTAGCGGTCCACGGACATGGCCGAGAGCGTGAAGATGCTCACCAGCATGGAGACGGTGAAGAAGTAATGGATGAACTTGCAGATGAAGGCGCCCAGCACCCAGGTGGGCAGCACGTAGACCGTGGACTGGAAGGGGATGCAGAAGAGCAGGTAGGCCAGGTCGGCGATGCTCAGGTTGAGGATGAAGATGTTGGTGGTGCTGCGCCGCTTGCCTGGCTTGCTCCGAGCCAGCACCGTGATCACCAGAGAGTTGCCCAGCACCCCCAGGGCGAAGATCAAGAAGAAGACGATCAAGGTGATGAAGTTCTCGATGCCCATGCCGAAAAGGGGCTTCGCCCCTGCCTCCAGCAGCCCGGAGAGGTTCAAGTCCCCGCGGGGCGGCTCTGCCCCAGCTCGCGACTGGTTGAAGGGCTCCCCGGCATCCATCCTCCCCCGTTCCCCCCGGCCAAAGTTTCCTCGGGCTGAAGGCGGAAGCGAAGCCCCCCCCGGCCCCTCTCCCCCCTCCCCGCAAGCTCCGGGCAGGGCTGGAGGGGAGGAGGCAGAGGAGGGAGGCAAGGAGGAGGAAGGAGCCGCCGCCTCCTCTCCTCTCCGCTCCGCTCCGCGCCGCTCCGCCGCTGGGGGAGGCGGCTCCGAAGGCTCCCCCGGAGCCCCCCCAGATGCTCCCGGGCCCGCCCCGGGGGGCGGCGGAGCCTCCGCGCCTCGCCGCGATGGGAGGCCGCCGGCTCGGGGACGGAGCGCAGGGCGTGGAGGGGGGGAGCGGAGGAAGGGGGGTTGGCTTTTCTTCCTCGGTTTAGCTTCTTAATCGCAGCCGCAAGCCCCCCGCCGTGGCTGCCGGGGAGCGGAGCCCACCTCGGGAAACTTCTCGCCGCTTTTTGGGTTCGGCTTTGGGAGGCTCGGGAGGCAGCGCGCTGGCAGGTGGCTGCTGCAAAGCCGCTCCAGAGGACGTGTGTGGAGGCGCCTGCATGAACCTCCAGCAGCTGGAGGACACTAAGAGTTGGTCCGGGCCAAACAAACACCTGGTCTCGCTGTTTTCACCTCCCTCGCAGGCTGCTATTAAATATTCCGTCAGAGGCGGTAGTTCACAGGATGAAAAGTGGCTGTAACTCCATCCAAGAAGGAAAGAAAAAAACGAAATAGAGAGTTTGGCCACTTTTCACATTCGCATCACGAAGAACGTGTTTCCAAATTTCACCACTGCTCTGCTATGTGTCTTGTTAGCAATAAACTCAGAGCTGGGCAGCTGCAGGGAATTCTTCAAGCTGCCAAAATTAGAGCAACTAAAAAGTTATTCTCTTCAGAGCTGAACAAAAACTCCTTCATAAGCCTGGCGTGAGGTCTTGTAAATATGCACACACACGCATACACCTTGTCACTGAGACAGGTTTTCTTGAGAGTTTTTAAAACATTTGTTTTCAACTGTCGAGTTACATCCGATGGTACTGTTTTATCTCTCTTCTCAAGGGATCATCTTTACTGTTAAAAATCCCCTCCATCGGTGTTAATATTGCACACTGTTGAAGGTAAAAGCTGGGAGAGCTGTGGCTTTCTTCAGATAGCCTCCCTTACACATCCTATTTACTCAAGAGCTTGATGCTACTTTGCAGCAGTTTTTATGTGGAAGCAGTAGGGTCAAAGAGAACTGTTCAGATGTGCTTTTTAAAGCAACAAGCTTCTGTTTGCTCCTTTGCAATCTACAATTTTACATTTTCTTTCTGCCTTTCCTTTTGGTACTTATGGTGTAGAGCTATTGACTTTGCAGATCTCGACTCGAATTAAACCTACTTATCATCTGGTCCATTACGTCCAAAGCAAAATGTATTCAGAGAGCACAATTCAGTTTCTATAGATTTAAGAAACTTTGATTTAGGTTGAACTGCTTCCTATATCCATCATGACTCAGTTTATAAGTTACAGATATATTAAGTAAAAATAAACCAGTGTTTCTCCTAAGAGATTTGAGGACTTTTTTTTTTTTTTCCCCCTATGTGCATACCTTATCATTATGTTGACATGTTTGATTACTGTTAAACTAGATTTGAGAACAGACATTGTTAAACATTTTTAGAGTATATCAGATACTGTGGACTTTTCGGAAGTACTCCAAGAAGATTGTGAAAATGAATAGATGACTCCATAGATTTTCTTAGTGTTGCTGATGCCTGTGTTTACCACAATGAATTCCTTTATAAGATGAGATATAGGAAGCTGATGTTTTGCTTTTGAATCATGTCTTGTTGTCAGACATCACTCTTTTCTAGCATGTCAGGAGTGAAAGTCTCACGTTGCTAAAGCTAATGCTAACATTGCATTAATAACAACTCTCCATTTGAAATATGTTATTAGTCCTCATTGCTCATGCCTCTATTTTTTTGAGAAATATGTTCATTTGAATAGCACAGTCTGAAAGGTGACCAAAGAATATTAGGTGGTTGTACAGACAAATAAGCCAGAAAAGTGGCTACAGAAACAAAATCAGTTTTAAGGGAAAGCAACTTGAAAATCCTGTCAGTGGTCTGTATGGAAGTGTTGTCTCTATTAGTTCCTCATCTGTTGCATTGCCAGTGTTGCAGCTCAAGCTTTGTTTGTCTGTTATGCATATAGTGTAACATATATAGTAGTTATAAGTCAGCTGAGCATTAGGGAAAACAAACAAACAAACAACAGAGAACACAATGATATAGTAGCTTTTCTGTCATAGGAAAGGAAGCTGACAGACCCACAGGCTTAAGCTTTTATACCAGTAAAGGAAAGTTCACAGTTTGACAGCACTCATGATTCCTGTTAAAACTGGTGTAAACAAACAGGTGTTGACATTTTAATCCACTGTTCTTATTATCTAGACTGAGTAAACAGCTAAAATTTCCCTAGAACAGAAAGTTCCAAAGGGAAAGTTCTTATAAAGTCAGTACAAATAATTATATAACTAAATATGTGAATTATGTGGACAAATAGAAAAAAAAAGTCAATACAAAACTTACATCATATTTCAGGAAAATAAATTCCGTCTCTTCACAAAGGAGATCTCTTAAGTATGTGCCTCATGCATAGACTAGCTTATGAACTTCAAATAGAGCAAAGCTAGAAGATAACAGGAAATTAAATGCCATTTTCTTTTGTTAGTGGACAGGGCCCAGTCTTTGTCAGGCATTAATACTCACCTCCAACAAAGTATTTTGACTCAACAACTTTCCATAGCAATCAATGGGGAAAATAGTGCAAGAAATCTATAAAGGAGCTGGGAACCTAAGCACCCTCTTAAGTCCAGACTTACATGTTTACCCTGGTGGCATAATCAGGAAGGTATTACTCAGAGAAAACACCACAAAAATGTCTGTCCTTTTTCTCACTTCAGTGGTTGGTTTGGGTACATTGATTTTCATATGGTTCCAGTGATAAAAATATTTGAATTACACTCCTAATTTTTAATCTCAGGAAAGAGAACTGATTATTTAACTGTCTGACAAATTGATTTAAAACATTCATTACCACTAGGCCTTGTTACTATGTAATGTATATATATAATAAAGCATATAATCACAATATTTTCACAAAAATGCATTTATATTTGAAAATATGAGCCGTCAGCATGCCCTGGCAGCCAATAGAGCAAACCATGTTTTATGGTGCATTAAACATAGCACAGCCAGCCTGTCAAAAGAGGTGATTCTCCCACTGTATTTAGCGTTGGTGTGGCCTCACCTTGAGTACTGTGTGTAGATCTGGGCTCCAAAATATAAGAAGGATGTTAAAGTGCTTGGAAGCACCCAGAGGAGGGCACCAAAGCTGGTAATGGGGCTGGAAGGCCTGTCCTGTGAGGAGAGGCTGGGGACACCTGTGTTGTCCTGGAGAAGAGGAGGCTGAGGGGTGGCCTCACCACGCTCTGTGACCTCTTGAGGAGGGGAAGCGCAGAGGAGGCGCTGGTCTCTGCCCTGGGATCTGAGAGCAGGATGCAGGGGAAGGGCACAGAGCTGTGTGAGGGGAGGGTCAGGCTGGGCGTTGGGAGCTGTATCTGTGCCCTGAGGTTGCTCAGGCACTGCAACGGCCTTCCTAACGAGCTGGTGGGTGCCCCGTGCCCGGCAGTGTTCAAGGAGTGTTTGGGTAATGCCCTCAGTCATATGCTTCAACTTTTGGTTAGCCCTGAAGCGGTCAGGCAGTTGGCCTCGATGGTCTTTGTAGGTCCCTTCCAATTGAATTATTCTATCCTATTCCATTCCATTCCATCCCATTCCACTCCATTCTATTTTATTCCACATTTCGATTATAAAACACAAAGCTGAAAGTAGGACGATTTTCAAGACTGACTTTTTTTTTTTTAAATTTATGAAACATGCTCAGGCAGAAGACACCCCAACTGTACTCCATTATTTCTGTTTGCTAAAGTTCCTCAAGTAGAAATTCACATTTTAAAGACAGTTGTGAACTTTAAATATCATTCAAAAGCTAAACCAAAGTTCATGATTTAAAAATTGCCTTTGATTCACCTGCTATAAAGTTATTAGATTGAATAAGTAGAGTATTTATAGTCATTAACTTGCCTTCTATCTATATTCTTGGGAATAATGTAAACCTGAGGTCACAGATATCAATTCATTCAAATTTCCATAGTGGAGATGTGTCACTAATAAAATGAAGTTTATTGCTCCTTGCTGACATTTAGAGAGAAATAAACATCTGCCCCATCTCATCTGAGACATTGCCATTCCATCATGGAGTTTGTGCTGAATTGTTTTCTTCTGATTCTCTATTCCTATTATTAAATATCAGCTCTCAACTAGCCTCTGCAACAGCTGGGTGTTGCTGGTAGCACAACCAGCATTCTGTAGGCTGCTTTGTTCAGGGTCAGCTCTAGGCATAGGCAAAGCAAGCAGTTGCCAAAAGCTGTGAACAGGTCTACATCAATAAAAAAAGTCAGAGTTCCCAGAGACCTTGGACACCATGGCTGGTTTTTGGGCAGAGAGAAAATGGATGCGTTTAGGGCACAGCAGCCAGTGGGGAGTAGATGGGAGACAACAAGAAAAAAAAAAAAAAGAAACATAAAAAAAAAAAATCACTGACTGCAGCACTGACACCTTGCTTCTGTGAGAACTTTAGTTAAGATCTATGGCAAATATGGACAAGGGTTTTTTTAGACTGTCTCCATGAAGTGGGAGAGGAGCCCTTCCCAGCAGCACCCCTTACCTCCCATTCATCCATCCCATCCAGCCAGCAGCAGCAGCATCCTTGGTTTTCTCAGGCTCTCAGCAGCCCCTCAGAAAGGTCTTGTGTGACAGCCACAGCCTGGCCTTGCCTTGACCCCAGACTCTTCATCAAGGGAAGGAAAATCCAATTTGCCTGCATTGCTGAGGAGCCTGGAGATAGCTCCAAACACAACTCTTCCAGAAAAAAAATAGGAGGGAATTGCCTTTTTTCACCAGGTACCGTGTCACAAAAAGTGTGTACATTATGTGATTTTGATTGCCCCTGGGATATTGAAAGCTTGTTATATGGATGCCTGTGTAAGCAGAGCTTTATGGTTTCCAGAAAAACACTACAACTATACTTCTACAATTATGCAAGAGTCTTGTGCAGGTGCAGTGGAGAAAAACAGGTTTTTTTGTTTTGTTTTGTTTTGTTTTCTGCTGAGAATCTTCACTATTTCTGTTCATTCTATGTGTCAGACTGTCATCCGTCCTGTGAGGCAGGAAGAGAGAGCCCAAAGGCAGACTCATTGGTCTCCATTAAAATTATGATTACGTTTACCAACAGATCCTGAATGCATATAAAACATGTTTCCTGTCTTATAGCCTGACAAAATTAATTTCAGTTACAAAGTGCTAGGAATGACTAGAAGTTTTTTTGTTTTGTTTTGTTTTGTTTTGTTTTGTTTTGTTTTGTTTTTGTGTGTGTGTGTGTGTGTTATGTTTGCTGCCCATCACCTTACTACTGTTATGACTTTGGCCATGTCAGAATTCAAGGAAAGGACATCAAAACATAGAGATCATCATGAAAAATTAAATGTAGAAAAAACAGTTCATAGTTGCCATAGATCTTAACTAAAGTTCTTACAGAAGCCAGGTGTCAGTGCTGCTGTCAGCGAATTTTGCCAAATCCTTTTTCCAGCTTTCATTGTTTTTCTGATAGAAGAGAAACTGTTTTTATTTTCAGGTAATTAGTGAGAGTTTTTATTGCAGCGAGTGAAGGCAGCTTACAGTTGATTTTGTTGGAGCCAGACTTTTCTTCTTTATTGATTCTGGTAACTACCTGAGTTGGTGCTTATTGATTTAGGCACAGCTGCACAATATTTTAATTTGTTCTGGGATAGGGCTTCATTCAGTGCCCAAATTATTAGACTGAAGCTGTTTTTCATTGTTCTAAGAGCTCATTGGGGATGTTATTACTTATAGTTTATTTGAAGTTTGCTCTATATCATGCTGAGATTGTCGTCCCCTCTCTCATCTCACAAGGCTCACTGAGTACAAGTAGAGTACTGTGAAAGAGAGTTATACTGGAGGAGTTCC